AGTATATACAGCTTTGCTTTTAGTTTACCTTAGACAAGTAAAATTAAATCTGACATAAATGTCATTACGATCGATTAACGGTCATCAAGATATCCGAAAATCAATATGGATTGTCAGTCGAGACCTCCGAATAATCGCTTTGCTTTCTTTTTTTTTTTTTTAATTTCACGTTCTCTCTGATCTTTGAAATATCACTGAACGTAAAATTTAAAGGTAATTACAAAACTTGATGTTTATTAAAGTTCGATAGTACTGTTGACTTGCCGTTCATCGTATTATACATATTTGTTCAATATTGGCGCAGAAGTATTTCAATGTGAAAATGCGTTCGCGTACACGAAGATTGGAAATAAGATCGACGCTGATCAAGATATAATTAAAGCAATAGAAAAGTTTAATATACGAAACGGTTAAAAAATCTGAAACGTAAATCGTGCTTGGGCATTTCGATTTCTTATAGAAATATCAATAATTAGTCGTGAGATTTGACTCGTGTCGAATCTTTTGGGGGAAAATGTATTCGTTCGTTAATACGGAACGTGTAATATGAAATGTTCGAAGTTGTGTGATCTTTGTGATCGATATCTATGTTTAAATAGAAATGCTTAATCCGACCAAGTTACTTCAATCGTGTCAGCAACGAATCAGTTACAGTAATGCTTTGTTAATTAGCCTGATATATTTGTTTATTTTACGTTCAAGATATACTATGTAGAGACACTCCACGAAGTCAGTTCTAAGAACTGGTGGGGATAGCTATGGCCAGTTAACGCGGCACTACTGCACAATTCAAAGCACAGAGGTCGCAATCGCAACAATCTTTCTCGGCTTAGGATCGAAGGTTCTGCGAGCGTAATAAATTGAAAAGTCAGAAATAAGAGAGGAAAACGAATATGTAAGTACCTCGAAAAATTGAGAAATTTTTACTTTGAACAAAAAAAAAAAAAAGAAAAGATGACAGTGAAAACGAAAAGAATTTCTGTTCATCGACGTAAATTGACGTTCACACTGTAAACTTTGTTTACAGTCGTCCGTATTTACAGTTTTAAAATGCCTGCAAATGTCTTGTACGCATGGACAAACACTTTAACAGAAGTCTGACAATGAGGTAAATCCTGACTAAAACACGAAAATTATAATTTCCCGACTCCCCCCTCCCCTATCATTCTATACCTTCGTACGTGTGACTGTATTCCTTATTCCTACGATTACTGATTTCGGTATAAAATATACATTTTATAGGAGTGACGAAGGATAATACATTGACATTAAAATTGACGTAGCGTACAAGTGGGACGTTATTCTCACCCTCGCCGGAACAGACATACTTTTGCGTGTACGTTATTTCTGTTAATTTACAGATCAGGCAGTAATAGATCTTGTATACATATATATGTTATGTATATGTATATATATATATATAT